AGTACCCAGCACCCAGCACTCAGTACCCAGCCCTGTGTACCGCACACCTAGTAGCATTCAATTGCTCGTCTTGGCATCATTTGAGTCGACTAGCAGCTGTTGTGCACTTCTTCCATTTAATTTTGCTACTTTTGTGCGTCATTATGTAGGGAAAACTTGGTTAAGTGTTTAAATGGTATGTGGATGGATGGTTGGATTTTTTACGGAGATTGCGAAAGAAAACCTTTCAAAAATTTTAAAAATTCTGTATGAATTATACAGCAGCAATGAGAGTTTTTTATAACAACTTTATTATAAAATTATATATAGACATTATTCATATTAATTGAACTCTAAAATTTAAAATCAGCAGATATAATTAATAGAACAGTTAGTATCTACTTCTGGTATACATTAACTGCCAAGTAAAGCTAATAGTTTTAAAATTAATCAATCACTTTCCATTGCTTTCCCTAGGACCACAGAAGAAACTACTTTAATATTTTGGGTATCGCTTTTTCTCGGACCTGGTATAGATACAAAAAAGGAAAACTGCCAAATCACTTTAGCTTCATCTTAAAAACTAAATAGCTTAACAAGGATAATACACGAATATAAATAGAGATTAGTGTAACTCACTTTACTCAGACAATCTCAAAAGCAACACAACATCAATAGGTGTCTCCGAGTGGAAATGTTGATAGTTGCATCAGCACTCGCCTTCTCAACCAAATCTAACCTAACCTATTTCTGCTGATTCTTTGACATCTTGCAATACCTAACTTTGTGTTAAATTAGCTTTTCAAGGTGGTGCCTACAAATTGACAGACGTTTGCACTTTTACGTAGTACTAAAATCGATTTTCACAGTTCCCCTAATCTTCTACATCAAATCCCTTTATCAAAATTGCAACATGAGGTGGGTCACTTTCAATCGCATCCATTTTGCACCATTTTTTTCAATTCATACATCAATATTCTTATTTTCACTGTCTATAACTTTGTCCTCAAATTTTCTTTTAAGCTTTGAACATTCCAGACATCCATGGAATGTCTGAAAATTTTCGACTAGGATATTTTGCATACTTGATTAAAGCATAAAGTTTACGGTACTGAATTACCATATACGCATACTGTAAACATGTTATTCCAAAACATTTGTGGCTTAACATAACTATCGATATGCGCTTATTTCATATTGAATTTCTGTCACTAGAATAGATTAAGTGCTCGTCTCTAGATTTACAGTTCTGGACTTTGTTCACAAAGCTTTAAAGAGCTTTGTATAGCCAATAGTGAAATTGGTACAATAACCCGGTTCTAGCCGCAGTACCGGTTGTTGGACGATTTCAATTATTTTAATAATAAATCAATATGCGCTAATAGGCAGTAACTGTGAATAGGTTCCTATACACCACTGACCAGACATAACTTCAGCAAGCTTTGTAGTGTTTACGCAGTCATTTTTAAGGTGTTCTCAGGAACTGTTCACTTTTTATGAGTGCCATCTTAATTTGTAATTCACACATGATCCAAGTGTCTACCATTAATTATTAGCAAGCTTAAGAAAGTATAGGTAACGATCAACAGGGGAACATGAAGCGGCACCTTTGCACCACTGACCAGAAAGAACGTCAGCAACCTTTGTAGTATTGACGCAGCCATTTTTAATGTGTTCTTAAGAACTGTTCTTGTTATATGAGTGCCATGTTAATTGAAAAGTTACACATGGTCCAAGTATCTTTCATTAATGATTGGTAAGCTTGAGAAACTACTGATAACGATCAACAGGGGAACATGAAGCGGTACCTCCAGAAATACATTTAGAGAAGCACCAAGACGGGACAAACCACCTGCCTGCAATGAAGAATTCTCTTTAATGTTTACGTATTCATTCCATATTCTCTCCATGCTTTTATTGTATGATGTACGTTTGAAGGGCTTTCATTGCAGTTTGGCTTTTAATAAAAATCTGTCCTTAACATGACTGAACACCACAAGACTAAAGAAATGATATGATGACCGATCTTAGAGTGCAAATATAATTCTCAAACTACCATTCTGTTTTTTGTTGGTTGTCAGAGTTCAAACGAGTGAACTCAAGTAAATGACACGCTTTGACGGGAAGGTCGCTTTAATATTGTCACTTTATTTATTGTAGTTTGATTTATATAAGAAAAAGAAAGAAATACTAAGAACCATAAATGGAAAAGTGCAAAAAAAAAAAAACATAGTGTCAAAATTACATGTTAAACCGGAAGCTCATTATGGCGCCAAGAGAAGCCCACAGCTACGAGCGATTTTGTGACAGTCGGTCGCGAGCCATTTCACTTGACATACAAATATCCGCATTATTTGGTTAGGCATCATACGAATATATACATACATAAATATATATAAATATTTCAATGTTAGTTATTTTTATTTATTTTATTTTATTTTCGCAGATTTATTAAAGTGCCTGACGTAAAAAGGGTTGTCACCTTGCCAGGCAACTAATGACGAGCTTCAATGCAAAGCGACCAAATCAAACGAAAATCAACTCAACGAGTACGAATAAATGCACAAATAAACAAACGATTAAAGTGCGAACTAGAAGTACAAAGCGGCGAGTACTAATGGAAGCAACCCATTTAGCTGAAGCGACTAACCAATCATTACCTGCTTTTCCATTTATTTCGGAACTTAGGACATAAATTCATTTCTCGAACTTTAGCACTTCGCTCGTACACCGCCATTTTCTTCTCATTTTCCTTTGCCTTTATTCGATTTCATCCTTTTTTCCGGGTTTGAGGTCCTCTAATTTGCTATGTTGGCGCGAGTATTTGTGTGAAAATAATTAACAACTTTTGTTGTTTGCAATTAAAAAAGCAAAATATCGGCAGAAAATAATAAAGATTATTGTTGCCGTAAATGCATTTAACTACGAAATTACTGGAAACGAATTCATTGTTTATTTAAGTAATTAAAAAGTTTAAATTGCTTAGGAGTTTGTTCGAGAAATCTTTAATAATTCACTGCATAAATTGAGTACACAGTTGTGAAGTGTGTACACAGAGGTCGATGGTTGATGGTTGATGGGGTACTATTAATTGTAGATCGGAAATTGCACCACTACCCATAGGACTTGGTGTTAGGGTAATTGTTATTTTATTCATTATCCATTTGATAACACAACACTAAGGTGATAGTCCAAAGTAAATATTTAAATTTAAAGATTTTGAAAGGAACGTTTTTCAATTTACATTAACATTACTATGGCTTTGTGTATGAGGAGACTTATCAAACACCCCTCGTATACTGCAGCAATATTTTAATTTTTATGAAAAATCTATTATTGTTATAGTTATTAGTGTTATTTTAATTAAATTATATAAAAACTATCCGCTGTGTTTCGGCACTAAAGCAGTCAATGATATATTGCAACTATTGGAGCAAGGCCGATACAAAAGCTGTTAGAAGATATAAGAGACACTGAAGATGGGAGTTTGAGGTTACCTAAAATTTCAGGCCACACAATACAGCGCGATGCTTGCATACTACTTGAATTAAGTCCACAATTTAAAATAGTATGTATAAACAATACAAAAGGAATGGATTAATGGATGATAGAGAGTTGAAATTTTTTATATATTGTATCTGTATTGATTTGCATAAATCTAAATTTTTTATTAACATATATTTAATAAAAAAAAAAACTTCAAGCTAATTAGGTGTTATCTTTATGATATGCAATATGTTATGATTGAATACCATATATCTAATAGCAGTCTAAACTATAGATTTGACTAAAAGCTTTATTAACTCTAATTCTCACATTAATTAAAACTGCTTAGATTCATTACATTTATTTTTTTTATTGATTTCAACCCAAACTTCTGTCTAGCATACGCTAAACTAAAGTCCTTATCTGACATTTATAATTAAGAAAGATAGTTTGTAACAAAATCTTACTGCTTCTAAAATTTGCTATTTTTTCATATTCAATAACTAAGTCGTATGTAATCATGATTATTGCACATCCTTATAATCCCTTAAGAAAACGAACTTGTTCCTCCAGACTTAAAACCATCATTACTTCTCTACTTTTCAATCTACTTCTTCAAGAGTTTTTGCCACTCTTCACAATACCTATAAAAATTTTCTAGAAAGAACTCTAGGAACTCGTCGTTTTGTTTGGTCGTCGACTGGGCTGCTTATTGCTGTTAAGAAAGTATGTTGTAACTTTGTGACTGATTGTGATATATAACTTTCGTTATTTAGTAAACTATTGAAGTAGACTTCCAAGACTTACACACACACACAAAGCATTCGACTGATGCCTTATCAAAATGTTCGTTTGACCTATAACAAGAGTTTTGACACCAATCTCCAAAGCATACACAATTTGCCTTTTACAAGAATTGATCATTACGCATTTTCCAAACACATCTTTTTAATTAATCCTAAGGGTATGGAAATTCTATTTTGCTAAACTTAATTTGAAACTAAATATGGAACTAGAGAACGGGATCCATATCTGAAAATTACTTTATGGTAGAAACTCAAAAATTTGCTTCAAAGTAACTAACATCTTTTAAACTAATCCTGCAGGTGTGGAAATCCTATTTTGCTAAACTTAATTTGAAACTAAATATGAAACTAGAGAACGGAGTCCATATCTGAAAGTCACTTTATAGTAGAAACTTTTGGAAATATTGAAAAGGTTTGTTATAATCCCTTCTGACAATAGCTCCAACTTCAAAAATTATTATATAGGTATTAAACAAAAACAAAATGGTGTTGCCATTCGCTTAGGTATGCTTTTTGTGGGTGGCTATATGGAATACTTACGAAACGACATACCCAGATTGAAAATAGCCACAGTGAAACCTCAACATGTAATAACGTTGCCAGATGATTACAATAACTATATTTGTAACAAACGTTTTAAATGTCAAAGTATGTCATGACAAAAGCTTGAAAACAAAATGAAATAACTATAATTTTATTTTTATAAAAAAATATTGAAGTCAAAAATTTTAGGCAAAACAAATACAAAATTTCGGAAAATACTAAGCGTAATACATATATTTTTTAATAAAGACGGACCTACATTTTGTGTGAATTATCCTTACTATTGAAAAGTCATGGATTTTCGAAGAGTAATATTTCAACTGATCACATTTTTTTATTAATATTGATATTAATAGTTTGAGTATTTGTAGTTTTCTGCGGGCGGAGGAGATGTGGACTGTATGAACTTACAGGAGCAATCCTTTGTTAATTATTATAATCTTCCTTTCGTTGGAGATAGTTACGCCAGATATTTATATCCAAGTCTTACACAAAGCTACCAACGTCGTTTTGAAGAAGATGTGCGGAGAGCTCATGAAAGGTTACGACGAATAATGCACATTCCTGATACCGCATTCATGCCACATCTAGAAGATGCAATCAATATGCGTTCTTTCACTCCTAAGGTCTTTACTTCAGAGTATAGTCGACTGCACCGTACCTCATTATTACAGTTTCAACAAAGACTAGACATTGTAATCCAACAATGTTACCAAGACAAGTGCCTTGAGCTTAATGATGAAATTAGGAGCAAAACAAAGGTTCTATATATACTTGCGATCACTATGGCTATAGGTTTGGGATGTGTGTTATGGTGTGGGTACACAAAAATTCGACGTCTTATGTTGTAATCAAAATTTTTGAAGAAAACCGATGCTGCGGTTGTCAGTGTCGTTAATCTCACATCAACAATTATTAAGCATTACTTTTTTACTACTTGAGTTTGTTTGGAAATTATTCATGGTGTCAAGTAATTAGATTCTGTAACTTATCTTAAACTATTATATTTACTAGGATTTAAAATATAAACAATCAGTGTGAAAATTTTGGCGAGTTATATGTAATATTTACATACATAAATACTAATATATAAGAACAACTATTTCACATACTTAAGAACCAAAAAACTCTGCCAATAAATATGATGACTGCTTATTTAAATTCTTCCAAAATGCTGTAATGTATTCCTTTTTTTAAATTTTAACAGAATTTGGAAGTAGATCCATTAATGAAACTTCAAATAATTTCAAATCTATTGTGTATTTGTACTGAAAAATTTGTCATCGTTAATTGCTGCTAGAGGAATAGACCGAAATCTTCGCCAGAAGCTTACATTCGTTTTTTCTACGCACTATCGCACCTTGATAAGTAAACACACCACATAAAGCTTTGAATCCAATGAAGGTAATTAAAGCATCCTTTTTTGCAAGGTTTTTACTTTTATGACTACTTGAAAGCCTAAATTCGTAATAATCCCGACATTTTAGTACCGTTGATATAGACATTTTATGGCATGGTTTATAAATGGTACGTATTGCTGCTTGGAATTTGTAGAACAATTCTAGTACTCTAGATCAACTATATAAATCTGGACCAACGGATATCAGCACTACGTTTTTCATATGATTTCTAGTTTTAATTTAAACCGATAATACGCTTCAGCAATTATTAAAAGTACATTGAATAAAATCTGTTATTCCATTAAAAAAGTGTGGTTGATTGTTTTTCTAGATGTACCTTAAGCTACTGACAGCCAATATTCCACTAAATAAATAGTTCTGTAATTTGTTGTATTAATACGCAGATAGTTTCCAGTTTCTTTGTTATATGTTTGCTCGGAATAATAGGGATATTAAACACTAATATGTCTATATATACAAATGATTGTTATTTTAAGTTGAAAGGTCACATTTTAATACAAGCATCAACACTTTTAACCCTATACGTCTATTATCCATTAAGATGAGCTCAAGCTGATGTGGGGTGTTGAGTTACTTCAACCGGATGTTTCCATTAGAACTGCATGTGCTGTACTTGTTGAGTTATTTAGTGTACTTAACGAAATATGTCACTGGAGAAACATAAAGAAAATAATAGACTGTCCCATCAGTATTTCAATAAGCACATGAATATTAAAAGGACTCTTCTTATTCTTTCTCTTCTCTTATTCTTCTTATTAGTACATAAATCATTCGTTTATATTAAATGCATCAATATTACTATAAAGAGAAAGATAAAGAGCGAGATAAGAAAAAAGAGGTAGGAGAGATGGAAAGGAAGAGAGGAGGAAAGAGGGAGAGGAAGTGATTGACATTTATTTGATTCGTTTAAATGATTTACTACTTTCGTTAAAATATTATAAACGAGAGAGAGAAGGAGAGACGGAGAGTAAGAAAGAAAGCGAAAGAGAAAAAGATAGAGAGAGAGAAAGGAAAAAAGGGAAAGTTAGAGAGAATAAGAGCGAAAGAGACAAAAGGGGCAGAGAGAGAGGAAAAGAAAGAGGGAAAGAAAAACGCACACAACTTGATTCATTTAGTTGGTGTAAGCACGGTTGCCACTTATGGTACTTTAGTACCAAAATTGGTACCTTTTTTTTCGTTTGGTACTCATGTTGAAAAAATGGTACATTTTTGACGACCCAACTTTATTGTGGATATTTTTAATTAATTTTTTTTATAAATGCAACTTTGCACTATTTTATATGAAAATATAAAAAACACAGAACAAAAAACAAAAAGGTCTAAAAAAATTTTGGACCTTCTTTTACAGAAATGGTACCTTTTTAAGCCAATTTTGGTACAGGAAAAAATTTTCAAGTGGCAACCGTGGGTGTAAGTACTACTTTCTGAAACATTGAAGACAAAAGAAAGAAAAGAGAGAGAAAAGAAGAGAAATAAAGAGAGAAATAAAGAGAAGGATAAAGAGTGAGCGATACATGGAAAAATAAGGAGAAAGAGAAAAAGGAAAAAGGACAAGGCAGAGACAGACAATTTAATTGATTGGGTTGATGTGAGGACTACACCCATTGAAACATTGAAGATGAACAATTCGATAAATCTACATAGACAGAGTCTCAGATTTGTAACTTCTTACAATCTCTATATCTGACATTAATACATTTATCAGAAAGAAAATCTTAATTCGGATAATAAAATAATTACAGACAATTAACTAATAATAAAATAACATTGTATTAAAGATTATCCATTAAATTATATGGTATATTTCGTTACATACGAGTATAAGAGAGGGAAGAAAAAAATAAATAATTGTTCGCACACACCACCATGACACATAAAACCGAAAGGCAATAAAGTAAATCAATTTCTTTATGTGCCAACAATTAAAGCTTTTGCTGTCAGAATACCAATAACACCAACACCTACAAGTATTACAGAGTCTTTCAAAAAAGCCATTTAAATCGTTTCTGAAACCCATTAAACTATAGAATTTAATCAATTGATCAATTAAAAAAAAATAATAGAAATTGTTTTAGTACGAAGCGTGCATGAAACCTCAAAAAGCAACTAACAATGCAAATTAAGCCGATTAAATGAAACAGTCGAATAATGGCGGCGCGCCTAAAATGCTACATTGAAACTTTACCAAGCAATGAAATTAATTACGAGTATACTGAACAAATTGACAACAAAAAAAAAAAATCAAAAACAAAAAAAAAATGAAAATATTACTTGCAAAAATGTTCGAAAGTATCTAAATCGATTAGTTTTGTAAACAATGGCATTGCTTGCAACTGGCAGTTGTACAAGTAATTATTAACAAACATGTTAGGCACCATCAGCCAATTCAGCCCATGCATATAATCACAGCCAACTAAGCCATCCTTTGGTCTGAAATATTTCGACGTGTTTCGTATTTAGCGCAACCTATTTTCGAAATACACCAGCACTGAGTTAAGCCAAACCACAAATAGCGAACCACACGAACGGCGAATGCAAATGCAAGTGCAAATAAAATAAATAACAATTTCACAGAATACTTTTAGGCGTAAAAGTTGGAAGAAAAGAAAACAAAAAACACTAGAACAACGTATATATTCGTATATTTTCACACATAAATATTTAATAGAACTGTTTAAAAATATATAAACTAATAGCTGGCAAAATATATTACACAGAGTAAAACAGAGAAGTATAATTTTTTACTATTGCTGTAACGCTCTTGGAAAATTATATACATATAAGCATATTTGAATATTTTATTTAATTTATTTGATTAGATATTTATGTTTTTTTTATATTCATACTCATTCACTTATATGTGAGCCAGTGGAGTAGTTGTGTTTTCTCTAAAGACAAAATATAAATGAACTTTAGACGGAGCTTCTTGGTACTTGCCAAGATGAACGAAGATGGTACTTTGATAGCGGATAGGCTTTACAAAGAATGTGAAAATACATAACTGGAATATATATTGTACTATGTAAACCTTTTTAATCTTATGATTGAAAAAGTTTGTTTTTTAAAAGTCATTTCTTATTTAAATGCTACTACTTTCATTTTATTAATGAGAATATCAAGATGGCAGCCTTCTCCTGATAAAGTTATAAGACCATGCTTTGATTTCGCTATGGAAATAAATAATTAGAACAATTATTATATTATAGCATAATATTTATTAAATTTTAACAATAGTATAAATTAGAAAGAAAGGTTGGACACATAACTGAAAGAGTGTGTCGTTTTATATATTCAATATGCACCATCACTCTGAAGTCAATAGTGGAAGCGGTATAATCTCATTGAAGTGGGTTTGTTTTTTTTTTTAAGTTTGCTTTGTATTGTAAGAGAGAAAAATTGATTAATACAAAATTACTATCAATAAAAATATGTTAATTTTCTCTTATCATTATCTTTAAGAAGACAAGCTCAAATGAATTTGGGATTGCCTGTGCACTTTCTTGATTCAATTAATTACTTCTAGCAGAACTAGAACTTTTAGCACTGTTACGTTATTTTAGAGCGATCTTTGAAATTTCAAATCCTTCATTCTTAACGTTATACATCCTATTTTAACAAATCATAGGATGTACCTAATTCTTGACCTTTTAAACATATATGGTACCTGACAATCTGATTTTCTCTCGACAAAAACTGTTAATCATATTAAAAGCAATCTTCAGTTGTTATAGGTAGTACATCAGTCCCTAATATCATCACTTCTGTTAAAATTATTCACCTCTTTATTTCCTTCTATATTCAACTCTCTTACTTAAGACCTAAACAATTTTGTAATCACACTCTCTCGAAAAAACTCTTTAGTAATTCTAAAAGAACACGTTTAAAAGATTTGTTCATTTGTTGTCACTATCCTTCGGGAGGACTGTACTAATGCGGCATAACCTCTCTCAGCTGAACAGGATAATTCCAAAAAAAGCTACATAACTGGGACCAAAAGATCTTTAGTTTATGTGCTATGAATATGTTGACCACTGCTAAAAGCCCCGTTAAAATGTGTACGTGCGACTTGAAGAAAAAAATTTGGAAGAAATGGGCAGAAATGAGGTCTACATAATTTTTAAATTTGCAAGAAATGCAAAACTTTTCTGTGAATCTGAAACAGAATTAGTATAACATCTTAGCAGTACGAGTATTAAGATAATAAGAAGCCATCGGTAACTACCGAACTAGCTCCCAGGTGTACAAATAATTTTTATAACGATATTGACTTTATTAACGATATAGCCAAATGAAATCACTCAGAGGACTCAGAGGTCCACATGTGGTTTCATGATGCTAACTAATTCAACTCAAATACCTCCACTTTCATCAATCCCATAGAATCCATACTAAAATATTTGGATCCAATATGCTAAGTGTCTTTATTGTTTACTGGTCGTCAATAATGGTGACTATTTTTTGATTATAATGGCATATAATAATAAAACTTTATTAATGCACTGCGGTTGATTTTTTAAAACTCTTATTGACATAGCTCAACAGCTATGAAACCACTTATTGACTAGAACAACTCATCATGTAAACAGCTAAGCAATTGTTCTACTCCCTCTATGCTCCCTACTTTTTTATAGTAAACTAAAAGGGTTTTGATGTTGGTCTATAATAGGTTGCATTACAATGTCTGTCCGCCAAGCGATAATTGTGATGCATAAAAAACGTGAAAGTAAAATGAAAGTTATGCATGCAGATAAGTATAGTTGCGCCTATGTATGTCAGATTATTGAAAGGGGCGGTCTGTGGGAGTTTGATATATTTACCAAAGTTAACGCTTTTATTGTTGTGGGCATAATGGACTGTTCAGTTGTTGTTGTTGTTTTTGTTGTTGTTACTGCTATACTTGCCAAAAGAATTACAATTTTAATTTCGTTATCCTTAAATGTCGAATCAAGCACGAAATTGAGATTGTAGCAATTTATAAAGTTTCGTTTCGCTCGTTTTTAGGCCAAGAACACACCAACTGGCGCTGATTACGTACCACACTTTAATGTTAAATTCTGAATAGAATACTCTATATATATATATACATAAATATATATATGTGCATATATATATAATTATATACACATATTAATGCAAAATTGTGGCTGAGTTCATAAAAATTGAAATATACTTTGGGGCGCGCAATAAGTAAGCAACGTTAATGGTTCCTTCACACTTGTAGGCTGATTTCAGTTATGGGCGTGTCAACCATTTTATGCTAGACAGAGTAATTTATATGAAATTAACTGCAACAGCTGCACTTAATTTAATTTTGTGCAAAAGAAATAAATAAAAATAAATAAAAATTTTAAAAATAGTACGAAATGTTCTAACAAAGTTTCAACTTTGCTGCCAATTTCAATGTCAGTATCTGGACAAGTTTCTGTTTTAATATAGTTTAATACCCTTGTAAACTTCCTTCACCTAATATTTTTTGAATATCCGAAATATTTGTATAGCAAACCATATATAAATACTAACATATATAAATTTGTATATATACATATGTATAATATTTATTTATATAATATATATGAAATGTGTTCATGATATACCCCAGTACTTGAAGTTCGAGTATTAAATATAATCTATATGATTGTAGGTTAATTTAAACTGTACGGTACAATAACAAGCATTAGTGTTTTTTAATAGAAATTTAGATTCGCATTAAATGTAACATAACTACAACGAGTTCTAAGTCTGGCACTTGCAGTCCAAATAAATTATATACTAACTATAAGCTAATCAAGAAATTCGAATATTTCCTAAGATCACTGTTGATGAGTACGTGGCAATACTCGAAACAGCGTTGTATGGTCAGCCATACTTTAATAAATTAACTAAAATTTTAGTTCATAACTTTTCTTTGCTATTCGAATCCGTTTAAATTTTAAATAATTTATTTTCGTCATAACACGCGTCACTCTCAACAAAAAAAAAATTAGCACATTCTTATATTATATTTTTAATGCAAGATATTCCTTACTTACTTACTTAATTGGTCGCTCAAGTGTTTCGGTCTAACGCTTTATGTCTTTCACTGGTGACGGGTATGAAACCCTGTGCACAACCCAAACCTTAAGTACTAGAGATAAGACTCACTGTACGCACTGTGACCAGGCACTGCCAGTGCCTGGCACCCGCTTTGGACACTGTCCTATTTGCGAAAATAAAAACTGGCATATTTAGATTACTCTTTAGTTGAAACTTCATAAGAAATAGTTTTGGTGACTATAAGACCGATGAAATGACCAGAAATGGTACACAGCTTCATTACTTTAGTCGCAGTAATATTGAAAAACCATTAAGTGGGGTGGAGATTATTCCAATTTTGTGGACGCCGCTATTTGGTAACGGATTTAACTAATCCGTCATGGTATCCAGCAGTAACAACTATATAGATTCTTTTTATCAATTACCAATTTATCAATTCATACTAATTTTCTAGCAGTAATTTACATTTTTGAAATACTATTTTTCTAAAATGAAGCTATGTCGATAATAGAACGTAATGGTTAAAGTTACTTAGAATAACGAAATTCATAAGCTAGCTATCAAAGCGTGTTGCTTGGAAAATCAAAAATGTTATATCCAGGAACTAAGTAGCCCAGCTTGTTCGTTGGTTAGTACTACTCTCTCATAACATCAACCAACTGTCAATTACAAGACACGGCGATCAATAAAAGACTTTTCCAATGACTACTGCTATAACTTTCAGTCGAAAGAGAAAAAGGACAGAATCCTAAGAACACACAGTACGCACCTGAAAGTACATATTTAATTTCGGACTCACCTTCCTTAATTGTCTGATACAGAGTAAAACAAATGCTTTTTCTATTGCAAAATACAGGTTTCTTTTAGATAAGTTTGGAAAAGAAGCCGTGCATTTATAACTGTAAAATTGGAAAGTGAGTAACATTTTGCGGGATGGATTGTTACTTGAACATACTATCTTAAATAGAAAGCAATCTCAAAAACTAGTACTTTGATGGTGTTCCAAAATCGTTAGCAAAAAACAGAACATAGACTATTTGAAATAGAATTTGATCCCTATTAAAAATGTATCAATATCACCATTTGAAGCTGTTACTTGTATTTACGATCTTTAATCAAGATTGTATCATAATCTTTATGTATATCTTCTGGATTTATATCAGGGTTGCCCATAGGAGAGTATACTACACGAGAAGTGAAGATCTCGCACTACTGCTAACCAAGTAGCTCAACTATCTGGAAACAATTTTACAATGCAGCAAAAAATATGTATTAATACGTCCCTAATATCAATTTCAAAGAATCCAAAGATTATTTTCTTAATAAAGAAGCATAGTAAATACTTGTATTTGAATAAACAGTACTGCAATCGTTCTATCAGTTACCAAAATGAACCCATGCAGTCAACACCTGGCTATTCTAAACTTAACCTATTGAACGGTACGTATAGTCGCTAATATTTTGATTAAAGTCGAAAAAATGTTCTAATAACAAAACTCTCTTTGCAGTGCTAAGTGAGAATAGACTAAAAAAAAGAGGTTCAAGGCTGTAACCTTTTTATTGACTTCAGAATGTTAATATAAATTCAGATTTTTGTTTACTGAAAATTGCTGTCATTGACAATCAAAATATTTTTGTATACATTTTCATATTATTTGTTCTACTCGTAGAGGCAGTCAAAACTGGAATTGAAAATAACCTATAAACAAATACCATAAAGCATGAAATACACATATATATGTACGAATAGAACTCAGTTATTCACGAAAGCTGGCAAACGTTTTTTGGAGCATTGGTTTTGTACTCGTATTCCAACGTGACCCAATTCGAAATTGCATGTCAGAACCACAAACACAAAATCGTAAAACCCAAACAAATGGAAGCACACAAACCTCATAAAAAAGTACATATATAAATATAATAGTAAAAATTAAAAACAAAATATTAAATAAAAAATTAAAAACAGTTCTACATGCGGTTTTACTGAAAAGATCCAAAAATATACATTTCACAAGAAAATATAATAGATATGCACTGACATTTAATACCATAATGTGGTATCTGTTGGTACCCAAACTGCTTAGCCAAACACCTGGAAGACACCATCAAAGACACATAAGAAGACCCATCAGATATTTTGTATAATAGTTCTAAAGAAAATATCCGATTTTACGAAAAATAATTTCAATTTAGTATTTGTAGTCTCATCTTTTCGGACAACCACCTTCTCCGAATATAAGTCTCTGGTGCTAGACGTTATCCATTATAGCCCATCTGCTTTAAATTTTACTTAAGGCATAATAATTTTAAGACCAAAAATTATGTACGTCTGCAAAGTAAATTATAAAATGGATTTGGGTAAAGTGGAAGCACTGTGCATTAAGGACCACTTGAGCTTCAAGAATGGTCGACTGCGATAGCACAGATAGGTTTTGGTGTACTTCAAAACCTTAAGGACGTCAGCAAAAGTTGAAAATCCACAACCATTCAGTGCATGAAGATTATCTAGTAGCAGAACATGACCTTGCATTTAAATGAAAGGGAATCAATACGATAAGTTTACAAAGTTAGCTATGCTCTAATATATCAGGAGTGAAAATTTTGATAGATAAGACAGGAGAGATAGTAGTTCAAAGATATTTAATTTTCTTACTAAAATACAATATAAAACAAAGTTTCTAACACCTCTGCAAGTGAATGGAACAATTGGAAAGACCAAATCTATTTATCGTAAGACTGAGTAATTTCCGTCTGTTCTAAAAAAAGTCATAACATCTGGCAACTATTTTTATCTAAACAATTTTTGTTTTGCTCACTCCAAAGCAGTTTAGTACAAAGTTTGTCAATCAAAATAGCAACAAAAGATTGGATATTTATTCTTATAAGCAGTCTTAAATCTATAATTTCATTCCATTCATTTTCCATTGCTAGACATTTCGAACAAAAAAGAAAAGAGAAAGCATATAAAAAATAAAAGTTTTTTGTGCTTTAAATATTTCTATTTATTTCCAAAAAAAAAATTAATTCATTTGTGGAAATCAATTGACAGTTAAGCTTTTGGAGCTTAGTTTTGAGCGAATTGATTTTCTTGATTAGCTTCAGCTTGAACTTGAGTAAATCGAGTTGCTCGGTTAAAGCTTGATGCTAGCCGCCACGGAAAACGATTTCTTGGATTATTTTCTGTAGCTTGGTTTGCTTCAAATTCTACTCCTGGGACAACATCAATTTCTGGCATAACTTGTAGGATTGGCCGCTGAGGTTCAGGGTTTTCTTGGTTATTTCCTTGAACTGACCCCTGAACAGTAAGATTTGCTTGATTATTTTCCTCTGCTGGTGTTTCAGCAGCACGATTTTCTTGATTATTTTCTGCGGTTTGATTAGCTTCAAATTCTACCCTTGGAACAACATTAATTTCAGGTTTAACATCTGGGGATGGTCGCTGACCGTCAGGGTTTTCTTGGTTGTTTGCTGCTCCTGGTGCTTCATCACCGCGATTTTGCTGGTTTGCTTCTGGCGCACCCCATTCAGCAACATCAATTTCTGGTTTAGCATGAGGGACTGGCCATGGAGCATCAGGATTTTGTTGATTATCTTCTGGAGCTGGCCACTGAACAGTATGGTTTACTTGGTTATTTTCTACAGCAGAGTTTTCTACGTTTTGGTTAGCCTCAAATGCTACACTTGGAACAACATTAATTTCAGGCTTAACGTCTGGGGATGGTCGCTGACCGTTGGGATTTTCTTGGTTGTTTGGTTGGTTTTCTTGCTTGACTGGTCCTGGGGGACCAGGATTTTGTTGATTACCTTCTGGAACTGACCATTGATCAGTGCGATTTACTTGGTTATTTTCTCCAGCAGAGGTTCCAGTAGCAAGATTTTCTTGATTATTTTCTGCGTTTTGGTTAGCTTCAAATGCTACGCTTGGAACAACATTAATTTCAGGCTTAACATCTGGAGATGGTCGCTGACCGTCAGGGTTTTCTTGGTTGTTTCCTGCTGCTGGTGTTTCATCACCACGGTTTTGCTGATTTGCTTCTGCTGCACCCCATGCATCAACATCAATTTCTGGTTTAACATGAGGGACTGGCCATGGAGCATCAGGATTTTGTTGATTATCTTCTGGAGCTGGCCATTGAGCAGTTTGATTTTCTTGATGATTTTCTACTGCTAGGGTAGCAGCAGCACGACTTTCTTGGTTATCTTCTGATGGTCTACTTGCTGCAACATCAAAATCCGGACTAACGTTAAAAGGTGGCCTTTGAGCTCTAGGAATATTTGGATTATCCTGTGGTGCGTTGCTTACAGTAGCATTATTTTCTTGGTTAACATTTGCATCTCGGTTTCGAAAAACACGATTTTCTTGGATATTTCTTGTAGCTTGACTTTCAGCAGCACCATTTTCTTGGTTATTTTCCAAAGTTTGTCTTTGAGGTACACGACTTTCTTGATTATCTCTTGGTGCTGCATTTTGAGTAGGACGAATTCGTGGTCGATTTTCTGGAGCAAGAGGATGAGTATTTTCGGGAACCACTGGAAGAGTGATTACATTTTTCGGTTTTTCTTCTGGCGCTGGTGATTGAATGTTACGAGTTGGTTCTTCATCGCGATCAGGGTTTCGTGGTTTAACTACTGGAATTGGTCCTTTAACATCATCAGCATCTGAAGACTGTCTTGTATTATCGCGGTGTTCTTGTTTTCCATCTGGAGGTGATATGGGACTAAAATCAATCTTTGGTCTGACATGTGGGTGGGTATTATGTGTTGGGTTGTCATGTGAATTAGACTCATGAATTTCGCGGATATATGGAATCATTAACAGCAAGTCTTTAAGAGCCGGGTTGTCATTAACAGTTTCTTTAACAAACTTTTTAGCTGAACAATCGAACCATGATATGCATTTATGCTTTGGACCATCAGCTCTAACATAACCATCAGCACAATTTCCAGGTGGGCATGTTCCAACTGGATTCTTCAAACATGCTGTATTTTCGCGTACATCTTTACAAGTAACGCCGCATTTGATATTGCAACCCTTCGGATCAAAATATTCAAAACGAATTGCTACCGGTGGTGAACTTGGAATTACAACCTCTAATAAAAAAAATATATATAAAATATAGCAAACAATAAGAAAATAGTACATTTTTTAAAAATGTGAATATATTTTTATAAAAAAGAAATTTAAGGAAAATTGTTATATTAATTTAAAACCTTGGTTAGTGGCTGATATCCAATATGCCAGACTCATGAAGCAAACAAACTGCACCAAAAACTTCATCTTGGAATACTCGTACTGCAATACAGATTGCAAACTCTTATTAACAAATGAATTATTTTCGGTATATTATGTTTCGCTTAGTTTTGCATTGAAATTTATACACAAATTTGAGTCAACAAAAAAGGTTAAAAGTATAATCTTATCTGGCTTTATTTATACAAATGTCATCTCCTAAAACGATGTGTTAACAAGTCAAAATGTTTTGTATCTTCGAAGTTTATACAAACTGTTAGAGCATTGGGTCTTAATTAGTTTCTTGCAACAATATTTTTGCATAATTTTTTATTAGATAAACAAGATAAATGGTCTCATGGCAAAATGTGCATAAAGAAAATGTCAAAGACTTGCGATTTGAACAGATTTTGTCTACAGATTTGTGCACATTTTAGTCTAGGAAAGTTAAGTTCTGGTTCAAGGTCTGTTGACAACTCAACGGTCGCATCACGTCATAAGATTTTTAAGTGAATTTCTCTTGATCATGGTGAATGCATTAAAATAGATTATAGGTTACTGTTGAGAATCAGTGCTTTGATTTTTTAACTAAACAAGTTTAAGATATGAATTTAGTTCGACTTTTAAGTGAGAAGAATTAACAATTCAGAAGAGAATTTCAGAGAAAAGGATAAGGGTTCAAAGCATCACTTACTCATATTGTGATATATACATAAAAATGGGCATATATATCTCTCCGTTGACAATTATTGGAATTTTTGCCACAGAACGGTGCACTTAGCAACTTAAACCTGCAGTTACTAAGCATTTTAGCTGATATTCTGACTTCAAAGTAGAAATGAGTTGCTTTCAAGGTTTAAATTTAATTACAAACCAATAAATGTCTATTTCATACCTATACAACTTTTTGAAAATATAATATATATTAGTGAAAGTGTATACTTAAGCTGTCTGGATTGATAGGGCTGGTGCTCATCATTTACTTTAAATAGGTCAGGAGACGTTTTGCGTCGTTAACTTATCAACTAACTTAAATTATGTCAAAAGACAACTCGATAAGGAATTCAATTAAAAGTTATTAACAAAGACACAAAAACATTTGTCTGGTAATCTCAATGAAATTGTTATATTTATCGTGTATAAATTAATTGATGGTCCCTGGTGAGAACATAACGTCTCTTAAATATTCTCTATGTACTGCATTTTAACATATAAAGAGGTTTTCGAAAGGTAGTGAACTACAACAACCAAAAAAAAATTTTTTTTTATATTATTTTAATTAATTGAATTTTTGACTGATCCATCATCAGTGGTCTTGCAAATAATTCCTTTATGTACTGTCTTTAAATATTCTTTAACTTTAAATTAACGTTTAGCTCCATCAATGCTCTAACTTTGAATATCAAAAGCAAGCTCATCAGTAAACAAATTCTTGCTTATATATTAAAACAGAGTAAAGGTTGCTGGTTAGTGATTTGACGGGAAAGCCTGACCTATGCTACTGCCTTAATAACATATCTAAATAAAACTATACTTTCTCTTACCAGAAAAAACTTGCAAGCTGATGACCCTACGGGATGATCAGCTTGGGATGACCTCCCAAAAAGAAAGCAGCATAAAGCAAAAATTTATATTTCTGTCTGTAGTTAGAAAGTCATCAATAAAAGACATTTCAGTCGTCGTCAGAAACGCTAAATATTGTGAGTTATAGTATAAAGAGTTTTATCATTTTACAATACTCTACTTTAACTACACATAAATCTCTTTTTATTGGTGTACTATTGTCTGTTATTAAAATAACAGACACAAACCATAAACAAATTCTAGATAAATAAAAAATTGTTTTTCTTCCACGTATCTCTAGTGTGGATCTCTTATTGGAAACATTTGTTCAGATCTTTTTCTCAGGTCCCCTGTTCGGATTATTTGTTCGCATCTCTTGTTCGAATCTTTTGTTAGCATTTCTTGTTTAAATCTCTTGTTTAAATCTTTTGTTGGGATTACGTATTCGGAGCTCTTATTCAGAGCTTTTATTCAGAGCTCTTATTCAGTTCTGTTATTTGTTTTTTTTGTTCGAATCTTTTATTTGCATTTCTTGTTTGCGTCTCTAGTTCGCATTTCTAGTTCGAAAATTTAATTTCAGTCTCCTTTGTTTAGGTCTCTTGTTGGAATTATTTGTTCGCTTGTTCGAATGTTCGAATATCTTATTTCAGTCTCCTTTGTTTTGGTCTCCTGTTTGAGTGTCTTGTTCGAATCATTTGATCGGATCTCTTGTTCGAATGTTCGAATATCTTATTTCAGTCTCCTTTGTTTAGGTCTACTGTTTGAGTGTCTTGTTCGAGTCACTGAGTCACTTGTTCGGATCTCTTGTTTGAATATATTATATGTGTCGCCTTTGTTTAGGTCTCTGTTCAAGTCTCTTCAAGTTAGATCGATTATTAGAATTGTTTCTTCGTATCTCTTCTTTGGTAAAGAAAAGCGTAATTATTTCAGTATTGTGGAAAGCATAAAAAATGCATCAGTAAAATTTTGGTTTTTTTGCGCCTATAAATATGTACATACATAATGCACTAAAACTTATTCGATGAGAAGTAAATCGCCTTTTAATAACAAAAAACTATAAGGGATCAAGAAAAAAACTCATGTTTATTTTACAATTTTTCTATTTACTATTTTACATTGAAATATTTGAAAAGGAAAATAAACAATTTAATAGCAATTATTAGCTTTCATAACGTATATTTAAAAAACGTCCGTTTTATATTCAAACTTTTCTTAATAGATCCCAATAAAAATTGGAACGTATTGTCCATACATTGTGAAAAAACGTTCACTTCTCTGGTACTTTTTTAAAAATTGTTGGCTTATTTTATTTTTAATTATAATTAAGAATTTTATGTTCTATAACAAGAAATATGTATGTCTAATAAAAAGAAGTTCTTTAACTGTATGGTAAAAAACTACTCTTAGTAGTGCACAAATTATATACTTACAATTAAGCCAACAGATCTTTGCAAAAACCACCAAGTAATCATTTATAGAATTCCCCAGAAGAAAGAGAATTTCCCAAAGACGATAATTTTGAAAGTAAATAGGAATATAGAGATTTCCGATTTGTGAACAGAATCAGTAAGATTGTCCTTAAAATAGATAAGCAACTTAATACGGAATATCTTTTTGAAGAAGATTGCAATCGAAATATTGTGTAATATTGGTGAATGCTATATTAGAGTAATTATATAAATCAGTATTAATATAAACTGCAACTGTTCTTATATGAGAAAAAATATTGTTTGTTAAAGTCGGGTTTGTTTTTTAAGGAACTTTAGCTTTTATTTCGATTATTATTGTTTATATATATCTATACGTATTTCAGCAAAATCGCTTTTGCCTACATGAGGAGAATATTTGCTTGCACAATAATAATTAATAAAATATATAAATATAATCATAAGTGAACAAAGGAAGATGTGTTGACAAAACATTATTGACTTAACACTGAGTCCAGAAGATCTAACTTAAAAATAAAACTTGATAGAAGGAACAAATTAGGTTGTGCCAATTTTTAATTATTTTAAATGACTATTTAATCATCGGTTCTAGTTAAAATTTTTATTTTGTATTTAATTTCTCATTTCTTGGAAGTCAAAGAAAAGCTTAACTAAATATATGGACCCAAAATAAATTAACTTCAAAAAATTATTTGAATATTAATTAAAATAATTTGGTTTGTATTTTTAATTAAATATAAAAAGTGTGCTTTTTTTAAATAATAAATTTTTATTAAATATAACGTAATTAAACCAATTTAAATACTTATGTTGAAACACCTAAAGGTATGCAATCTTATTTTCTATTTTCAACACTTTTTGTAAACATTACTTCACGCAAGAACCACAGATGCCACATATATTCTGAAATGTATTTTCCACATAGATTTGGTTTGCTAACTTTTGGTTTAATTTTATATGTTTTAATTCAATTCAATCTAATTTATTTTATTTTTTGTTTTTAATTTTTACTCCTTCTCTTGAGTTCACGTGGGTTTGCCTTTTTTCTAGTTTTAGGCAAACAAACGAACTATGTCGAAAGTATGCAATGGTAAAAATATTTTTCTATTAAAATATTTCTACACTGAAAATGACTATATTATACCGAAGGAGGGAGATAGAGAAAGAGGTGAAATTTTTATGAGGAAACTTATTCGGTTTTAAATAAAATATGTTTATAGAAATAATTTAAATAATTTTTATATATATGGTTTGCAGTTTAGTATAAATTGCTTATTATTAACACGATGATTCATAAAGTTGATTAAAAATATATCGTAACCAAATGAAAAAAAAAAAAATATGAGTATCCAATAAATATTAAATGAAAATATTATATTCTTAGCAAATTATATTTCTGAGTCTTAAAGGTCAAAAAAAACTGTATATGTCAAAACTTATTTATACTAAATAAACACTAAAACTGTTTACAGTCAGAGTTAAAAAACCATCTTATATTTTAGTATTTTCCAACTCAAAATATACTGCGGATCAGGAAAATATTCAACGTGTTTTAATAAGAAAATATTCAACGTGTTTAGTCATATGTCTTTAATAATGTGTTCATAAAAATGCATTTACTATATTTTAATATTTTAAGAAACCCTACTCCATAAAATTTCGTAAAGTTTTAAATCTAATTTTAAAAATAAGTTCATTTACTCTGTCGTCCGTCTGTCCGTCTTAATGTTTCAGTTGGATTTAATCTCTTAAATTTTGAAGTTATTTGAATTTGAACCTTGATCATTTTTTGGATTGACCGTAATCGGACTGCTATATTTTTTAACTGCCACATAAACTGAACAATCAGTTATGAGTTTTTAGTAAAGATATTCAAATGTAGTTTGGTTCAGAAAGTGTTTATATTTATTTAAAACAATACTGAAGATTTCATTCATATCAGCTCAGGTTTAGATATAGCTGCAATATAAACTTCCAATAAAGACATATGTTTTTGTCAGATAATTTTTTTTATTTTCTAATGTTTGTCTTCAGATTGGAAATAGCTGGAGGTGATATTAGAAATAGCAGAAGTATGATCTATATTGACAAG